TTTCTGGTGCCCCGGACCCCGCCTCGGAGCCTCCTGGGGGTCTCCTGGAACGTCCTGGGGCCTCCTGCGGCCTCCTGGGGCCTCTTGGGGCCTCCTGGAGCCTCCTGGGGTCTTCTGGGGTCCTGAGGCCGCCAAGGGTCTCCTGGGGCCTCAGAACTACATGCACACACGGAGACACAAAGCACACCCAACACATCACACGCTAGACAAACATAACACACACACAACACCCACAACGCACAAAGAACACGCACAACACAAAACACACATCACACACAACACTCGCAATCCCGGGGCCTCCTGGAGCCTCTTCCGGTATCCAAATCGGGCCTCCTGAGGTTTCCTGGGGGGCCCTGGTACACACATTGCAAGGTGTGGCAACCCCACTTGCGCTCGAGTGCGACCTCGATCTTAGATTCTTCTGCGTTCACCTCCTGCCTCTTCCCCTTCTGTTAAGCACGCCCTGGCGGCGCCGCCCCAGCTTCCCCTTCTCCATATCCGATCATGCAATCATGGTGTCTTCCTGCTTCAAGCGCCCTTTCAATTTTTTTGTATGAGCCTGGGCGCACATATGTATTCAGCAGTCTGCCGACCATTTCGCTGAGCGTCAATTCCGCATGAAATCGCGGCGCGCTGACGGGACACCTCGCGATGGCTCTCGCGGGCCTGGGCGTGGCCCTGGCGAGCCTGGGCATGGCCCTGGCGCATCTCCTCTTGACGTTGCGTGGGTTTTGGCGTGCCCTGGGCGGCCCCGATCCCGCCAATGGACACGGGCTTCGTGGGCGTGCTCCTCGTCTCGCGCGCGTGCGCATACTCATTCATTCCTAGGTTTTCTCTGTGTTGTCCCTTTTTTTTCTGGACACTTCTCGCATGATCCCAAAAGGCTTCGTCGCCCTCGAAGGGGGAGTGCAGGGCTTCCTCCGCTTCTTACCGCATTTCGTACAACGTGGCAATTGGAGCGTGAGGCACGTGTCGAATCTGTGTTCACAATTTTCCTCGTGGCCGAAATTATGGGCCTCCATTTCATTCGCGCAGATACTGCCCGTCTGCTTTCGGTATGTTGCGCTCTTCCCGCAGCTCTTGCACTGCGCGCGGTAACGCCCTCGCGAGCGTTGCTCGAAATCATGCAGGGGCAGCTGCTCGTCACACCCTGCGCAATGCGTCGTCTCTGCGTTATTCCTATCCTCCCCCGCCTTCTCGCAGCTCCTGCGCTGCGCGCGGTGACGCCCTCGCGAGCTTTGCTCGAAATCGTGCAAGGTCACCCGATTGTCACACCCTGCGCAATGCTTCGTTTCTAGCTTCTTGCTGTCCTCCTCCGCCTTCTCGACATTCCTGCACCTCGGTTTCGGGTGGTAGCTGTCGTATTTCTCGAAGTCCACCTTTGGCACTTGGTTTCTACATCTAGGGCAATGCTTCGTGACTCTCTTCGCTCCCGCCTCGCACTCTCTGCACTTTTTCATCAAGTTGCCGGTCTCTGCCTGGTCGAATCCCCCCTTCGGCAACCATCTCTTGCAGATGCCCTCGCACTTCTGACACTCCTGTGGCTTGCACGCGTCACAGGAGTACACCTCTTCCCACCACCATCTCTAGCTTTCGGATTCGGTCGCTCGGCAAAAACATGCACGGTGGGTATTGTGATGCGGGCACAGGTACTCCCCCTTAACCAACTCGGTGATGCCTTCGATGGCGTCCACAAGCCTGTTCCGATTCCCTTGTCCTCGAAGCGCTGCGCGCAATGCGGGCGGGGGCGCTCGTAGCACTTCCCCCGGGGAGTCCGCCTGAGGTTACTCAGCGCGCCCTTCACCTCCGCCGCCTGGAACTCCCACAAGCACCTCGGCTTACCGCGCCTTGCATCCGAATGCTTCCCGATCATCTTGTCGGTGCCCTTCCGCTCCCTGGCCACGCGCCTCGCGCACTTGGTCTCCGCCAGTGCGTTTTTTTTTGCTGCGCCTGGCTTGGGGCATGTCGTCCACGAAGTGGTGATCTGGCAGCATTTGCCCGCGGGCGCCGTGGCATTGCGTCATTTCTCTGTCGTCTTTTCCAGGCTTGTGCCCGAGACGCTCGTTGCAAGTGGCGCTGTCGCAGTTTTCCCACGCTGGCTGATTCTCTGTGTTGAAATTCTGGCGCGGCAGCTCCCGCTCGCACGGTCCGTCGCAGCAGATGAAATGCTCGGGCGGCTTGTGCCAACCCTGTTCTCTCTTGCACTTTCTGCACAATAGCTCTGCTCCTCGTCGAAACACGTCTTGTTCGAGATATGCCTGGTCTCGACTGGAACTGAATGCCTTCGTCTCCTTCCAGGCGTCGACGTCCTCGCCCCGCTCTTGTTTCTCTTCTTTCTCCTTCGCTGTCTGCTTGTCAGTGCAGGTGCGGCACGGCAGTCTCATCGTGGAAAGCCAAGTCGGCCCGCTCCTCTTTCTCCTTCGTTGCTTTTCTGTCCTCTCCCTTCCACGCTGCCTTCACCTGTGCAGTCGTTGTAAGCTTCTTCTTCGTCAAGTCCAGGAGGAGTCGCGGGCCCAGAAGCATCCCCTGTCGGAGCGGGTGCGGAGAATACGGCTGCGCGATGCGCATAGTCTCCGCCTCCTTCACCCTGCTCATGATGATGCAGGCGCACAACATCGCGTCTCTCTGGGGCTTTGCCGTCCACGAACGACAATCTCCGATGGCAGCAGACAGTGTGCTTTTGCAATACGCGTGCGCCGTGCCTCCGAAGTCGGGTGCGATAGGGAGCCCGTAGTGCTTGAGCTTCACGGCGTTTCCCGCTCCCAGCGACCAGGGGCGCGCCTGCGTACTCAGCGTATCCGCCGCCCCCTGTCGATTCATCGCAGGGGTGCCTGACGTGCTAGATCCTCTCGGTTTTGGTTTTGGTTTTGGTTATTTTTTCAAAAGAACTCCCCCTGGGCCTCCGGCGCGCCCCGCCGGGGTCCCGGAAGGATCTTCCAGATCCGGCTCCAAAGTGTTTTTCCTATCCAGACGGCTCCAAGACGGTCCAAGATGGCCTCCAAGACGCCCACGATGGCCTCCAAGACGGCAAAGATGGCCCCAAGATGCCCCCAATACGGCTCAAGATGCACCCAAGAGGCCCCCAAGAGGCCTCCAAGTCGGCCCAAGAGGCCTCCAGTAGGTCCTCCAGAAGGGCCCGAAGAGGGCAAAATCATTGATTATCCTTGCGTTTTTGAAGGATTTTGGTATTTGCGCCTTTTCGGCTTTCCGACGGCCCAAGACGGCGCATGAGGCCCCCAAGATCGCCCCAAGATCGTCCACGAGGCCTCCAAGATGGCCCCATGACGGCCCAAGAGGCTCCCAAGGTGCTCCCAAGAGGGCCCCAAGATGCCTCCAAGACGGCCTAAGATGCGCCCAAGACGGCCTAAGATGGCCTCAAGATGGTCCAAGACGGCCCAGGAGGCCCTCAAGGGCCTCCAAGACGGCCCAAGAGGCCTCCAAGAGGTCCTCAAGGAGGGCCCGAAGAGGCCAAAATCATTGGTTTTCTTAGGTTTTTGAAGGATTTTGGAATGTGCTTCTTCTCGGCGTTCCGACGGCTCAAGACGGCCCAAGAGGCCCCCAAGATCGCCCACGAGGTCTCCAAGAGGGCCCCATGACGGCCCAAGAGGCCCCCAAGTCCTCCAGGAAGCCCGGAAGCTCGGAAACGACCTGGTCCGATAGCTCGCACGACTCGGTGTTCCCCGAAGGCTTTCGAAACCCACTCGGGGAACGCGTGGCCCGATAGTTTGGCCAGGCAAACCCAACTTTCGGCCACTCAGGCGCTTCCAAAAAGGCACGGGGCGGCGCTGATTCGCCGTAGGCGTCTTCGATACACAAGCCCAAGTGGCCATAATTACGACAAAGGGGGAGGAGGAGCGATACACGACAATCAGATGCGGGACGCTGTGCTAAATGGAGACCAAGAGGCCCGCCACTCTGCCATGACACGGGACATGACAACTCCAACGGCAAGAATAATCCGAACACATGTATTCTCTAGATAGGCTTGCCTGTGCAGTTCTCAGTTCTTTAATGATCAAGGGTCCTGATGACACCATCACCGGATATCCTGCTCGTGCACAACCTTTACTATTCACATAGATCGTCTGACTATATATGTAGATCCCTGCTGTTATCTCAAAACGACATGCTTGCTTGCTTGGCTATCTCACCGCATTCCTTGGCAATCCCAATGAACTGCTTGCTTGATTATTCTGAGGAGTCATATGGAGTTCAATGGAATTCAATCCTGGCATGGTTCGCAATTATTTCTTTCAATAATTCTTTTGAATACATGCTGGTACACATGCCTAGAACAATTTGGTAAAACGGACCACGAGACAACAACGAAACGTAACATCAGAACGTGAGATTAGTCCCAATCCCATCCCCGTTGTTGGCGTAATAAAATGCATGTCAAATATTATCTCTGCGTTCTGTGCATTGAGTGTTATCTGCATTCATTCTCTGCGGTCTTTGCACTGGACAAGTCGTGACTTTGGCAGCCAACGTTGCTCCAAGCCCTTCTGGTACAGACGACGCCAAGAACTTCAGGTCCCTCAATTCTCGAGCAACTGCAGACCTTCGTCTGAGCGGCGAAGGAATACGGTCCAACGCGAGGGGACGCCTCGACCTTGCGTGATGGCTTACGCAAATGCAAACTACGTGGGCTAGAACATGATAGGCAAAACCTCACGCGGGCTGCGTGCGAGCGAATATCCACGCACTGTTTTTTTTGTAATCTGATTACATCAATCGTCGATGATCTCAATCTTCGCCAAACTTGCCAGGGCGATGCCATTGCGTCACTGAGCTTTCTGAGCACTCGGCATCAAACGATAATGGCTGTGACACGTCCTCCGTGGGCTCGTCCTGAGGGGGCTCGTCTGTGTTGCCAAGGAGCTATTTTCTTTTAGCATGCCCTCCCCTCGAAAGACGTGCCGCCCCGACTACCTCGGTGGGAATGCAGGTCACGAGCAGGCAAGACGATGCAGGACACTCGCTATGCTCGGAGCGCCTTTTTCTCCGGACGCGTGCAGGCCGCCTTTTGCTCGAAGAGCACGATGCACACCAGCTTCATACCCCTTGGCCGGGAACGCACGAGCCTTGGGTCATAGACAGTGCCCCTTCCCTGTGGCAGTGCCTTTCACCACGCCTGCGTGACCACCACGCTCCGGGCCACCCGATGTTGCGCTTCGCGCCCCACGGTGCGCGGCGCCCCCACGATGCGCGACGCTTTCCTGGTTTACAAGAAGAACCGACAGCAAGGATGCACGATGAGGACGCACCATCGAAAGTGGTCGAGGATGGACCGAGGAGGCAAGGCTGCAAGGGTAATCTTGGGAAGGCTACCCATCCTTCTCATCTCACCGGTTTCGGCTGCATCTTCGCGATCAAGCCCCGCCCCCCACGGGGAAGGGTGCCCCTCTGGCACAAACCGTGGCGCGCGAAAAGCGCGGCTGCCTTCGCCCCCCTGCGGGCGACCTGGGCATTCAGAGGACCCACAGACACGCCAAGCGCACAACAACAAGTTCGAAAACACCCCTGCTCAGAGTCGAAACACTTATAGGCTAAGAGAATGGGCTTCACTCCAAACGTTTTCTTTCATCAATAGTCCGGGTCCAGATATACGGAACTTGAGAAATTATCCGAAACGTGCCCGACCCCTTCTTCACGAGAGGCGAATACTTGCCTGAACGCTCCATGCGAGACAACACATCGCAAGATGTTCACGATCTGCGCTGCCCTCACCTCCGCCGCACGAGCCTACGAATAAGGGCAACAACTGCGCACTTCGTAGCCTCACAAGAAGCCGCGGAACCTCGGCAGGATCCGTGTGGTCACCGACTCCGCTGGACCTCCCAGGAACCCACGAAAGTGGTGTTAACTGCGCAGGTCACAGCCGCCCAGGGAGCAGCGAAGTCTTGTCTGGGTGCGCGTGGCCCCCGACTCGGTTGGACCTCCCAGGAGATCACGGAAGGGGCGACAGTTGCGCAGTTCACAGCCACCCAGGGAGCAGCCAGGTCTCGCGAACGTGGTGCCAGGTGCGCAGTTCGCAGCCCCCGAAGGAGCAGCGACGCCTTGGCTGGGTGCGCGTGTCCCCCGACCCCGCCGTGTCTCACCACATCCAACAAAAGCGGTAACCTTGCGCAATTCGCAGCCACCGCGCGCGGCCCCCGACTCCATTGGACCACCCAAGCGATCACGGAAGGGGCGACAGTTGCGCAGTTCGCAGGCACAAACGAAACATAGAAGTCTCGTCTGGGTGCGGGTGGCCCCCAACCCCACTGGATCTCCTAGGAGCCCAGAAAGTGGTGACGTTTGCGCAGGACGCAGCCAACCAGGGAGCAGCGAGGTCTCGATTGGGTGCGCGTGGCTCCCGACTCTGCTGGTCCTCCCGGGAGCCCGCGACAATGGCGACGGTTGCGCAGTTCGCAGTCACCCAAGGAGTAGCGAAATCTCGTCTGGGTGCGCGGGGCCCCCGACTCCGTTGGACCTTCCAGGAACCAGCGAACATGGTAACAATTGCCCAGTCGCAGCCATCCAGTCGTGGCCCCCGACTCCCCGACTCCGCTGGACCCCCCACGAGCCCACGAAAGTGGTGATACTTGCGCAATTCGCAACCTCCTAAGGAGCAGCGAAGTCTCGGTTGGATCCGTTTACTCCCCGACTCCGCCCTGCCTGGAAGGAGCCCGCGAACATGGCGACAGTTGCGCAATTCGCAACCTCTCAAAGGACTGCGATATGAATCTGGATCCGTTTACTCCCCGACTCCGCCGTGCCCCCCAAGAACACACGAAACTGGCGACAATCGCGCAATTCGCACCACCACAAAAAACTGCGAGGCTCCAGCTGCATCCGTTTACTCCCTGACTCCGCCGTGCCTCCCAGGAGCCCACGATCGTGGCGCGTGTTTCGCAATTCGCAACCCCCAAGGGAACTGCGAGTGCTAAACTGGATCCGTTTACTCCCCGACTCCTCCGTGCCTCCCAGGAGCCCACGAACTTGATGCCAAGTGCGCAGTTCGCAACCCCCCAAAAGCGCTGCGAGTTCTCTTCTGGATCCGTTTACTCCCCGACTCCGCCGTGCCTGCAAGGAACCAAATGTTCAGTTCGCAGCCCCCCAAGGAGCCGGGAGGTCTAGTCTGGATCCGTTTACTCACCGACTCTGCCGTGTCTCCGAGGAGCCGACGAAAGCAGCGCTAGTTGCGCAGTTCGCAGCTCCACAGGGAGCTGCGCAGGAGGAGGCAGGAGGAAGAGGAGGAGAGGAGAGGAGAGGAGAGGAGAGGAGAGGAGAGAAGAGCAGAGGGGAGAGGAGAGGAAAGAGGAGATGAGACGAGAGGAGAGGAGGTGGGGTCAACAGTGCTTTATTTACAGCGAGAATCCACCACCGGAGGGTTGGGGAAAAAGAAAATCCAAGAGAACGCCCAGGGTCAAGTCTGTAGTCTTGATTCTGAAATGGAATCTGGAATCCATAAACGCCGATTCTTTATCAGACAGACTTCTGATGGGTGTAGGTGCACAAACCCACAGACGCCCTGACAGCGGACCCACGTACTGATGGATGGTGGCATGATAGGCGATGAGGCCTAAGCGGAGGAGAACACCCGACTAGACAGGATAGGATAGGACTGGGCCAGACCGCTGTCTCCCTCTCCCTCTCCCTCTCCCTTAGCCCCTCCCTCGCTATCATTCCAAGGCTCCTTTCGCTCGCAATCCTCGGGGCCCACCGAACACTCGGGTTCGGTTCGTCCGCACGCCCCACAGAACGCACGGGATCCTCCCGCCCGGGAGCATGGGGCCCCATGAAACACACGAGCTCCTGTTTTCTGTAACCCTCGGGGCCGAGGAAACAAGCGGACTCCTGGATTCCTTCGGCCGGAAACCTCGGGCTCTGGAACGCACACGGGTTCCTTTCTGCTGCAAATCTCCAGGCGCGCAAAACACATGGGTTCTTGTCGCCCAGCAACCTGAGGACCCATGCAACATACGGGCGGGCTCCTTCAACTCAAAACATATTCAACACATGCTCAACAATAGTTGTCAAATCGTCCCCATACTATTGTTTAACTATTTTTGAATATTTCCCCTGTAGAGGGACACGCCCGACTTACCCCTCGAGCCAAAACGCGCACGAGAATGCGCCTTGAGACGGCCCGGGGGCGCACCATCAACCCCCCCACAACGCACCCCTCTCGAGCTGGCTCGCACAAGGGATGCGCCCTGGGACGGTCCTGGGGCGCAGCGCTGCCTCGGGGGTGGGCGGGACCCCCCTTCACGGTCAAAGCGCATTTATCAAGGGGCCCTGGGACACGCAAATAAATACATACAAATCCGAGGATTCCCCATATTTTTTCAATTTGTTTCTCGATTTCCGTCTTCCTCCCTATGTCCATATTTTCCCATATTTTCTAGGGAATCGTCGATTAATTGTGTCTGGTTTGCTTACCCGCCTGAATATAGGAAGGGTGAGCAACTTTCTGAGGTGAACCTCGCATCCTTGCCTCGTCAGCACATACTTGGCAACCCTCGCTGGCCAGCCACGTTCGAGAAACGTCAAGATGGCCTTCCAAGGCCCTGGCATCCTTACGTACTCTGGGTGGGACATGGTCGCCCTCCCTTGAACCCGCTGGGGGGGCTGGGCACGTGCTGTCGGCACGGGTGGACGGGGGCTTGGAGGAAGAGGAGGATGAGGAGGGGGAGGAGGACGGAGGGGGCGGGATTGGGCAAGTTCGTTCAGTCGGGAGGTGAATCGCCCCCTCGCTGACAAATACCCCGCGCAGAGACCGCTCATCCTCGCCATGCGTTTTGGCTGCAGCGCTGAGCACGCCGCCCTTGGAGGCAAGACGGCCCGGGGCCAGCCCCGGCAGGCGCCGGCCCGCGGTCACTGCGGCCGCAGGGCGCCCAAGAACCGAAAGGAAGGGGGAGGGGCGACTCTCAGCTCACCTTCCAGGTGGGGGCTCCATCAACTCGGTAGTCTTATGTTGCTCCCATCGTGCCTGAGGACCACATCCCAGAAGTAACTTCGAGCACCCAGACAGGTGTCGAAAGAGCGTCGAAATAGTGTCGGCCGAGTGCCTCCCAGGGCCCGACACGCGACAACCCTCGAGTTTTGGGGCACTTGCCTGGTGCTCGAAATTCTCTCGGGTGGTCAAGGCTAAGGTAGGTTGGAACATCACAATGGTAGTCCCCAAACGTGGTGGTGACAACACCTGGCGGTGAGTCTCTGGCGATTTGGTGTCATCACCCGGTGTGGGGACTCGTGTGGTTTTTCGAAGATGTCCCGAACGCTAGTGGGTCCAGGATTGACAAAACCCAGCGGTGACCCCCGTGTCCCAGAACCCGGCGGTGACTTCTTGGGATTCCAGGTCACCACCTGATATCTCACCACCTGGTCTGGGGGCTCCCAATCAGCATCCGAGACTATCCCCCAGGGCGCATCACCCGGAATTGAAAACATCACCTTTTCGGAAGTCCGGGTGTCGGGACCCCCCAACGCACAGGGGACGAGATTCTGTGGATCGCGCTGGACCCCGAGGGCCCTGCCCGAAGACCCGGTATGAGGGGATTCGATTCTGTCGTGTCTGATGCCGCTGGCCCGAGGGCCCTTGCGGAACCCCACAGGCGAGCTCGTCGGAGAAGAGGTCCAAGACCGTTGGTAAAAGGGCCCCGAGGTGAGAGAGAACGGGGAGGAGGAGTGACGAAGGCTCCTTAGAAAAGGCCCCCCCTGGTGACTGGCATACGATTGGAAGACTCTCCCGTGCAGAATGCTGCACTCACGCTTCTTTCCTGCATCCGTGATTCGCTCATTGGCTCAGGGGTTTCTCCGGGAGGCGCGGGAGCGCGCGCAGCAGTTCAGAGTTAAACGTCCGACCCCGCATCTGAACCCCTCCATGGGAAAGCGTTCGCCTCCGTTCGAACGCCCGAGGAAGGGAAGAGCCTTCTCTGAGTCGACCGCTACTCTGTCAACTCCGCGTTCGTCTACACATGCATCAGTAGTGGCTTTGCTGACATCAACTTTATTTGCACGCGTCGTTTTGCATTGATCGAGTACCGAGGAACCCCTCCATGGAAAAGCAATCGCCTCCATTCTGACATTAGATCGGGCATGTCTCCTGAATGAGCATAGCAAACAATACCCAAACATTGTCCAACATCGTCCAAAAGTCGTCCCCAGGCTATTTGATCCGTATTTGTTGATATTCTCCTGTAGAGGGACACGCTCGACTTAAGCCTGGATTTGGGCGCGCCATCGCTCGGACGTCCATTCCCCGTGCACGTTTTTACCTCGTGCGCTTCTTGCTTCACAGGGTGAGCCGAGGTGCTCCTCGATGGCCCTCGCCGAGCAAAGTGCACACGCCCGAACGATGCTAAGGGATGGGCGGCCGGGAAGGGGGAGGTCAGCGCGTCGTGGCTGGACGCGTGCGCGTGGACGAGGGGGGGTGGGGAGGCGCCAAGGGAAGTCTTGAGAGAAGACGAGGAGGGGGGGAGGAGGGGGGGGGCATGAAACTGGGGAGGTGTCATCGCCCCAGTCATGATATCCACACACCCCTGGTCCTCCCCCCAAGAAAAAACTGGAGAAGGGGCCCAGAAGGGAAGGAGAGAAGTAGGATGTGTCATCAGTAATGAATATGTGGATGCGGAAAAGCTGAACGTATAGTTTGTGTGACCAGCGATGCGACGGCACTAACCCGTTTCATCCGAAGGGTATCGCAGCCTCACGTTGGCCTGGGGCTCGCCGTATTCAAGCGATGTCTGCTGGTGCTGCGGCTCCGCTCAACAAGAAATGCGGAGAGAGAGAGAGAGAGAGAGAGAGCCAGGCAATTGCTAGAGCCAGGCAAGAGCTGGGGCCATAGAGGAGAGGGAGGAGAACGAGGATAATCCTCCTCTTCGTCTTGCTCCCCCCCTCCCCATGGATGCGTGCTTTTAGGCATATTAGACAATTGGCGCTCCGCGCGGATTTCTTGGATCCGCGAAGCTTATGTTCATGTGCTTTCCTCTCCTTCGACACATGTGGCCCCCTCCCCCTGCCCTGTAGTCCGAGGTTCAGCTAGGCTCAGATGGGGTAGGGGAACGGGGATACACGCTGGTCGGAAGAAGTCGGTAGAAACATGAAGTAGGAAGGCGTTGGAAGTAGATTGGACTTCCGCCCGCCCCCTGAAGAGGAGGAAAGAAGGAAAACCGCTCGACTCTTGAAGTAGGAAGGCGCCTAAAATAGATTAGGATTTGGGTATCCGAAAACACATACTTTCACAACGACCGGCGTGTAGTCCTCCTCTTCGTCTTGCTCCCCCCACTGGCCATCGCTCGGACGTCCATTTCCTGTGTTTTTTTTGGTTTCGTGCGTGGTTTTTTCGCCGAATGGTCGAGGATGCTCCTCGAAGGTCCTCGCCGAGAAAAAAATGCACACGTCCGAGCGATGCCAAGCCCCCTGCCTGTGGATTCGTGCTGTTCGCATAGGTGGCCCCCTCCCCCCGCCCAGCAATCCGATGCTCAGCTGGGATCAAGTGGCTCCAGCAAAGGGCGGGTCAACGGCTCCGCGCCTGGCGCGAGGGCCTCTCGCGCCCTCTCGCGCCCTGGAGAGCAGAGCGGCTCTGAGCAGGAGGAGGAGGAGGAAGCGGAGGGGGCGCAGGCGGGAGAGGGAAAGGGAGAGAAGGGGGACGGGGGAGAGGAAGGAGCGGAACGGCTGAGGAGGAGGAGGAAGAGGTGGATGGGGGCTGAGGATGAAGGGGCGTGAGAGAGGAGGAGTCTGATGCGGGAAGGGGGGGGGCGGCCACGGCGACCTCCTCCTCCTCCTTGCCGTGCTCCGCCCTCCTTCTCCCTCCTTCTTTCTCCTATTTCCTCATTATCCTTCCTCGTTCTTCCTCCTCCTTCCTCCTCCACCTCCTCCTCTGAGACTCTTCCAGGCCCGGTCGTTCACACAGAACCTGTCCGAACTGGTAGCCTCGCCGTGAAATCGGCGGGGATGGCCTGCAGCCGTGGTGCTTCCCTTGTCGTTTGGGTTCTGTCTACCTCTACCCCCTCCCCCCACTTACCCGTGTGAGTAGGAACAAGGAAAGGCGACACCAACGCCATCAGGGCGAGGAGATGCGAGGAGCAAGGGGGGTCTCCCTGGTGATGTGGTCCCCCCCTCTCGCTCGAGACATCTCCAGTCTCCAGCTCGGGGAGGCCCCGTGGACCTCCTCGCTGGAGGTGGCCCCCCTGGTGGTGTTGGTGTAGCATCTCCCCCCTCCGATGTGAGCGGCCTGGAAGGTCGGCAACCGCGGCAACAACAAAGCGGGACCAAAAACAGATCTCGCTACCACCAAACCTCCGACGCCGTGACTTTTCCGATGCCACCCGTGTTGTCCTCGTTCCGGACTCTGGGAACCAGTTTCGAGCCCCAGGGAAGCGGATCAGGAGCTCCAGGGATCCAGTATTGGCAAGCAACACGGCGTCGGAGGTCTGGGTTCACAGCCGCAGCAGCAGGATTGGATCAGCGGCCGCAGCAGGGGATCAACAGTAGTCGCAGCAACAACCATGGTTCGCAGAGCAGACACGGAGAGATGGGGCCGGCAATAACGGCGGCAAAATCCCACCAGCCCTCTGGGCGGAGGTGGTTTCCCCATGGGGGAAGGATTCACCCCTTCCCCCCTCTTGGGTCTGGACAGGGGGGCCGCGAGGTGACAGAGAATCCTTTTTCGCCCAAGATGACTCTAAGAACGCTCGCGATGCTTCAAGATGGCCTCCAAGGTGGCTCAAGACGCCTCCAAGATGGCTCAAGACAACCGAAGATGGTTCACTACGGCTTCCGACATACCTGAACGATGCCCGACGAGGGCCACAAGACATGTCCATGTGCTCTTGGAGCCCCCTGAGGACGTGGTTTTGGCATCCTGGGAACATGTGCCGCCGCAAAACAGCGGACAATGTGCTCCGTTGATGGAGTCGAATGCTCTGGGTCCCCGTGGTGAAGAAAAAAAACGGCGTCACACGTATGGGTCCGCTGACGATGAGTCGAGGAGTGGGGCCGGTGCGGGAGAGCAGATAAGAAATAGGGAGGTAGAGATAGAACGAGAGAGGTTCAACATTCGGAGTCTAAAAAGTCCGACAATGGACAAGCAGACACCCCTCGCTCTCTGGACGTCTAGCACTCGCGCGCACATTCACGTGCAGGCAGCTTGATTAGGAATAGCTATTAGGCAAGGGTGGATCGTTTGCCACCCTGCCGGATGGCCAAGGTCGGGAGCTTCCGCCATTGTGGCCTGAGGTAGTGGGCAGGGAAAGGAGTCGAGGGAGAGCAAGGTAGCCTGCAAGGATAGCCAAGATAGCCAGGCGCAAGGCTGGCATTCTTTGTCTTCGAGGCTGTATGAGGATGCTGACTCGGGTGAGGGTGAGGATGGCAATGGGGGTGAAGAGGCAAATCACAGATCGATGAACTCCAGCAACAATGTGGAGTGGGTCGGGCTTTCGTAGTGCTTCAGATACGGTTTCGTTATTTCTTTTCAAGGCCGACGCCCCTCTCTGGTTCACACGCGTGGTCCTCAGTGGGTGCACCATTGCGCCATCGGTTACGCCAAGCACAACGGGTGCACCATTGCGACATAAATAGCGCCAAGCACAACACAATCTACCAACTCGCCCGTTGTCTCAATGAAGGCCTCGTTGCTACATTGCGCCGTAACTTACGCCAGGCCCCCCGCAATCAACTGAATCGCCCGTGGCCCCAAGGGGTGTGGGCGTAACATTGCGTTGTAGGTTTCTCCCTGGGTTGCGCCAGGAACTTGCTTTTTACGAACTCAAGCATTGCCACTGTTGGGGTACCATTGTGACAAAGGTTGCGCCAAACGCCAGGCACCAGGCAATCTACCAAATCGTCTGTTGTTTCCGCGGGCGCATCGTTGCGCAATAGTTTGCGCCATCGGTTGCGCTGGTCATCCCAAAACACTCCAGATCGTCGGTTGCCTCAGTGGGTGCACCATTGCGCCATAGGCTGCGCCATGGGGTGCGCCATCGGCTGTGCCAAGCACCATGCAATCTACCAACTCGGCCGTTGTCTCATTGAACGCATGATTGCTGAGTTGCGCTATGCATCCCGCAATCTAACTAGTCGTCGGTTGCCTCAGTGAGTGTACCATTGCGCCATAAGTTGCGCCACTGGTTGTGCCAGACACCATGCAATCTAGCAGGTCGCCCCGTGTCTCATTGAACGCATGATTGTTGAGTTGCACTGCAATTTACGCTGGGCATCGCGCAATCTACCTAATCGTCTGTTGCCTCCATGGGTGTACCATGTCGCCGTGGGTTGCGATAAGCACACCGCAGTCTACGTAATCGTCCGTTGCCTTATTGGGTATGGCGTCTCAAGCTGAAAGAAACAGCGGTCATTTCCTGCGAACGGATAGCGTGTCGCCCCGCTACGCGGGGCAGGAGAGGGGGTCGAGAAGCTGACACGTGGGAACCGACGCGTTTCTGGCGTGGCGCGCCCAAGCGTGGGAAGCCAAAACTAGCGGCACGACGCGCGGACCAAAAGTTCCCGACCGTCTAAACCGTGTTTTTTCTTGTTCTTTCCAGCCTGAGGCAGAGTTGAACGGTTAACGCAAGGCCTTCTTCTGGGCCCTGCAAGCTTCGAGGAACCTCGAGGCAGTCCTTGCTGCACTTTCCTCAACTGTCGCCTGCCATATTGGTTGAGCTGGGAAGTACAGACACCCGCTACCTCCCTGACAGCTTGGGTGGCCACGCGGCCACCGGCCAGACATACTGTGCTCCCAAACTCCTTGTAAGAGGCCAGTGTGTGGGAGCTGTGCAAACCCATGCCGTTGACTGAACTCTTCGTGGGCACCAACACCACCCCCTTAAACAAGCCCTGGTGGCAAGGGGCCGCCAACAACTTATCGGCCAACTTGTGTGGCGCACATCCCCCACATCAGTGACAGCGGACCTGGGGACCATTGCCCCGCAATGGTTGGTGGGTTGTCAGGAACAGTTGAATTTTGCTCTCTCGCCTTCTGGGTCTCAAAGCGGCCTGCCTGGGCACGCGATCCCCGTCGGCTTCGATCGATGCGAGCAAGCTGTGGCCCATGTGCTGACGAACCTGGAAAGCAACCGCCTGGGCATGGGACCTGCTGTCCCTCGCAGCCGCAGGCGCACGAATGCTACCTCCCCGTTGGTTCACAACGCTGTCCGCCATATCATTCAAACGAAAAAAACCAGGGGCCAGTACCCTGAAATCCTAGAGTCTCACGGCCAACCCCTGGACGACGAGATGATGGCCGATTTTTAGGAGCAGTCTGCAACTTGATCGCGCGCAGGCCCTGGACCAATTCCAGGCCTAACTTCGAGAACTCAGCAACAACTCTGTCGCCGTCACCATACATGCACTGTGCAATGTCATCAACCCAGGTGTGCACGCATGTAAGGGCCTGCCGTTGACAGTCTTACTGCAAACGGAATGTAGAGCTGCCCTGCCTAGATCAACTGCACCACTGCTGCCAGGCATGAGGGGCATTCCTGGCTGCACAGCCAAACAGAAAACTCCAGCCTCCCTCAGAAACCTGGTGGCCATATGGGCCTGGAGGTCCAGGGCCAGATAGCACGGGGGAAACTCAAGTTCCAAAGCGTGGTCCAGAACCTGGCCCCATCGGAGACTGTCGTTTAAAAAACTGTGACACCCCAGAGCAAGCTCGCACTCTGGTGGCCAGGCAAAGAAGAGTGCTCTGCCTGTTCATCTTTGGCCAATCACAAAAAAAACACCCTGCAGCGCAAAGCTGCTTGCGAGGGCCGTGTCCCGCGCCCCCGCACGTTCCTTAGTCCAACCCGCTCGGTCCGAGGTCCTCATGCGTTCCCCAAAACGGACAGTCCAGGCCAACAGGCCTATGGTTCGGTCCGGGTAGTGGTCTTTGATCAGGAGCGTGGAAAGCACTACAAGGGCCTGCCAGGGCCAGCAACCCTCCTGTTCGACAAGCGCAAAGACATCTGCAAACTGCTGCAGGCCTAATGGCGGCGACCCCTGGAAATCCTGCCTAGACAGCCTATCTACACCAAGTGCTTTTTCAGGCAGAGCAGTGATGACCCTACGGAGCCGATCGGCTCCCGTCTGGGGTCGCGGGTTCATCTTGGCCAACCTTTGGGCCTTGCGCCAAAGGGCCCGAACCCTGGGAAAACCAAAGCTGTTTCCGGCCCATCGTCTGACCAGATCCTGGCCTTGACAGCCAGCCTGTGGCAGGAGTCCACAGCCGTCTCCCCACCCGTCCGAACCTCCCATACATACACAGGCTTGTCCCTTCTGCGACTATACAGGGCGCGGCCTCCAGCCTGGTCCTTCTGCGTGACCCACTGGTGGGGACAGGTGGGAGTATTGTTCAGGACAGCGCGTTGGGCTCTAACAGAATTCCGCCTCGCTCTGGCCTCGAAATCACTGACAGCCTGGTCTGAAGCCTCCCTGAGAACCCGCATGCCGCGGACCCAATCGGAGCGCATCCTCTCTGAGAGTGGCAGAAGAGATGGGGCTGGCGTTGTCGAGGCCATGCCCCTAATTCTATCAAGAAATCGACTGGGCCTATGCTTTGATCTGTCGCCAAGGAAGCCGACCAGGTCTGACAATAAGAAGCTCAGGGTAGCCCACCCGTGGGCCACAGGGCCCCTGGAAGAAACAAAGCGGGCACCTTGGGCCTCAGGGCGCTTTTGGAGCTCCCTCAGCTCGGCACGGCCCTTAAATCTATGCTGGTCCTTGGGATGGACTTCCAGCATGGCGTAGAAACAAAAACCTTCGAAACGTGAAATCCATCTGGCAAAAGCGGATCCTAGCTTCATCGCCCCAGCCTCGTCCAGGTTGAATGCGAAAGAGTCTCTCACGTAGCTCGGCACCTTGGCCTCCTTGACTGGGTCCTCCAGCGACTCCCAAAGATGATCCTGCTGCTCCTTCGTGACCATGAGAAGCTGGTGACCTGGCCCTCTGCGCCCTTCAGGTTCTGCCCGACACTGGTGCTCCGCCACGTCCACCACAATGGGGCGGTCGTGCGGCTGCCCCTGGCTTGGGGGCGGGGCTATGGGTTGCTCCCCGAACTTTGGAGGTCGCTTGGGGGGCAACGTTGTTTCCAGGGCCAGATTCCAGTACGCTCAGCTGGCGCGCTTGATCCGTCAATAGCAATCCTTACGCCACCCATTCGCGACAAGTTCGGACCTCAGGTTTGCTCTTACCAACGATTGGGCTGCTTAGGTTTGCTCTTACCATGCGAGCATCACCTCCTCCTCCCCCGTCGCCCCAAAAACACAGATCGCGTTCGCTGCCCCTCAGCGAGCTGAAACCCGAGCTGCTCCCCACCCCGCCCAGACCTGCACGCCGCCCGTCTAGTCGACTGGAACCCCGTCCACGCTGCCCCACCAGCAGCGGCACGCTCTCCACCCTTCGTGCCAGCAGCGGCCCGGGGGCCCGCCACGGCACTCGGGGGGCCCCCACGACATACGTGGACCTGAACTTGGCTGCGTCTTCGTCGCGCTACCGGGGTTAGGGGTCCTTGTCTTCTCGATGGCCAGAGACTGCGCCACAACTGGAGCAGCACAGCATTCGGCAGACAAACCGTGAGCTCAGGCGGTCGTCCGAGCGCGCCGCGCCGCGTGGGATTGAGGCCCGACGCCAATGCCCCCGAGCGCACAGCACGGCCCCGCGTGCTCTCCCTGGCAGATCGCGTGCGACGAGCGCGCCCAGCGCTCCGGCGCTCGCGAGGCGATCCTGCGCGGCATCCCGCACGCCGCGCCTGCGGCTTCGCTGGCACTCTTCGGTTCGGTGGCAACTCATGGGAACCTCCAGCACCATCTTGTCAGCTCTTGCGAATCGAAGCTAGCCAACGCTGAATCGGTGCTCATCGACGCCAAGTCGACGCTATCCGACGCTAAATCGGCGCTGCCGTATCGACTCCCATGCGCTGATCGACGCTAACTGACTTTGAAGACGGATCAAGAAGGCATACCATGCTCCCATGACTTGCTGCCGAACTCCGGCATCCGCCTCCACTGCTCCAACATCTCGCCGATGCCTGGCCACGGCCGCCACGGTCGGACGCTCTCGTGGCAAAGCATCGCTTGCGAGCGCACCGGCACCGTCCCACCCGGCGCCGGTAATTCGCTGAGGCCAATCGCGAGCCTGTCCGCAGCGGAGCGATATGTCCACGCGGGGATCTTCTGACCCAGGTCAATCCAAATCCGGGTCAGTCAGGCCTTGCAAAATCCTGCAAATCCTGCAAGGTCCTGCATCTAAACCCGGGTCAATGCGAAGGATCCTGCACGATCATGCAGGATCCCGCACCCAAACCTGGGTCAATGCGACCCTGTCCCTGCACGACCCTGCAAGATCCGGCGCTCTGGCTGACCCTCGCTTGCATGGATCCCCGTCTCAATCGGGAGCGGCCAAGAGGGGGGTGTCCAAGAGGGGGGGGTGCAAATCATGACCGGCACCCCCCCCTAGTCATCAGCCCCCTCTTTGCCGCCCCCGTCTCCAGGCTCCCGACCCACGCCCTCGGCGCCGCGCCGGGGCACCGTCGGTGCGCGGCTCGCCGACGGCTGCACTCTACGCAGCAGCGCCGGGCCCGCGTGCCAGGGCTCGGCCCGCCGCGCTCCCCCGAGAGCCGCGCACCCGAAGCCGCTGCGACGGAAGGCCGCGCTGCTGTGCAGCGCGGCCGCAGCCTGCAGGGCCGCCGCCGGGTCGTCCCCAGCACTACAGTCGAGGCGTTGACCTAAGGAACCCTAAATAAGGAACGAGGCCCCTATTTTCCATAAGTTGAACTTCGCTTTCGTATCGAAAACCGAAGGAAAATCCTAGGCAAGCTGCGAAACATTTCAGGAACACGGAGCCCCTCCCCAACGAAAAAGGTTCCCTCTGCAGCGCCCCGACTGTACCTGGCGCATGTGCAGGTGCTCGGCACTGTTCAACGGATCTCCGTCCCCACCAGGCAACTGTATCTCAGGCCAACGAGCCCCCCCCCACCCGGTGGGGTGTGTGCCCTCGAAGCCCGAAGGGAACAGCCTGTATCCCCATCTAGAGGGTACATCGGCCAGTGGGGCCAAAACCATGCCAGTGGGGATGGGGATCACTTCACTCAGGTACGGCAGGTTCGTGTCGTGACGACCCTGGCGTTGGTTTCTGACACTGCGTGGCTCGTTCAACCTTGAACGTCGGCGGCTTTTCGATCGCCAGATCGTTCCATATTGGCCGATTCTGGGCCGCGGGTGGCGGTCAACTTTGATCGCCGCGACGGGGTCGCCACCGTGTCGACACGACGCGAACCTGCTGTACGCGGCCGTGGGACCCTGCGCAGACACGGTGGATCAGCGGTGTGTGGGACTGCCCGCTCCCACCAGGGCGAGTCCGCAACTGGTCCTGCATGTCGCCTACCGCCCCTGGGTGCCCGCGGACATGGTGGCTCGGCTCAGGCTCCACAGCGTCACGCAGGCGACACATCTTCTTGTCAAGAAACCGGCAAGCTGCTTCTTTGGACCCCGCGCGTGCGGAACGATGGCTGTTTGAAGACGGCACCAAAGAAGCCAACCCCAGCCGACATGGTCATGGGTCATGGGAATAAGCAACAGATGAAGATGAGGAGAACGAGCACGGGGGTGAGGCCTGTAAAATACATAAGGAAGAAGACGTGGATACTCATGAGTATGATGATACCGAGATGGGTAGAGGAGGAAGTGGGCAGATGACAACTATGGTGAATTGTGGCTCGCTGGGCTGGCGGTAATCAGCACCAGGGAACTTCTCAGCTAGCGTCGCCACGAATTACCGAACTGCTAAGACGTGCAGAAACAATGCAAACTCGCGTCGCTGGCAGCCATCATATGGTAGCCATTCCCCGATATGGAATGCTTGCTCCTCCTACTCTGGAGCAGGGACCGACCGTCCCGGCATTCCTAAATGCCTACCACGGAACTTTCTTAGAACCCCAAACTGTTCAAATAACAAGATCAATGATCTTAGAACATGAAAGCGTTGTGTTAAAACAAGGCTGTCCCAGCCAACAAACGTTCTAAGAATATTTCGTGGGAGCCACAAAAGGTTCTTGGAACATTGTTTGGTAGGCCTATAGGCACACCAGGACGCTTCGCCACTGCTTGATACTCATCGCTCCTCCACCACCTGCTCCTGAACCTCCTCCTCTCATGGGACCACCTGGGAGGCAAGGATCATGGCTTCCCCATGTCAGGCCTGCCTGACACGCCGGCGGGCGTCCGCTGCTTTTGCTGGTGCGCTCTTTTTGGACCGGCCAGCTCCTCCCTCCCCCTCGCCCTTCTTCCCTTCCTCTGGAATAGGTCCTGAAAGGAACGGATGCTCCGAATGTTCCCACGGGGCCCGCTTTTCATCTCGTGACGTGTTTCCAGATGGCTCCAGAGCCCAACTGGAGCAAAGCCCAACCAAGCCAGAGAAGGAGAAACATCTCAGGGCAAGACCGCTCGCTCAGGACCCTGAGATCCGACGTCGCGACAAACACTGCATCATCGGGAGAAATTCCAACTGGAGCCCTGGACCCCATCTTTCTGCGCCATTCTTCGAGCCGGATCAATCTGTGATGGTCCTGGGGCCCGAAACCTGGCGTACAGCACGGGGATTACTGGGCAGCTTGGGGGCGCCACACTTGTGTAGTTCGGAGATGGTGGTGCTCCTCCGCTGGTCCAGGGGGGGCGCTCAAGCTTGACAATGTCACTGCACAATCGTAGTAGGTGTTATCGTATGTTGGCGCCACCTGTGAGTCCCGCGGTGTCGCTGTGCTTGCTTTGTTTGAGCTGCTTGATTGCGTGGTGGAGCTCGCTCTCTGGGAAGGGTGGGATGTTCGAGTAGTCGCGTGTCCCAGGGGTGGCGTTATCAGGTTTTCTGGTCGGTGTGGGTCTTTGTGCAGCTTCTCGTAGGAGGCATCAAATACGTCAGCTATGCTTTATCTGTTCTTCTCTTCAATGCAGCCAGGTGCCTTAGATTAATGCGATCAGATCTTTGTGCTTGCTGTCCAGCCAGATGGTTTCTTCAGACTTTTGATTTCGCAAACGATTTCGTCGATTTGGGCGTTCATCCGGGCGCGCTTGATGTCCATTAGCTGTCGCAAAATTTGCTTGGTGATGGATCTTCTTGCAAGTGTGTCGTGTGGTGTGGCAAAGCGTCTCTGTCGGATGAGTGCCTTGAGCCGCGCTGTCGGACCGTCGTCGGGGACCTCCAGGAGATCCCAGGTCGGCTGCTCGTGGTGTTGCTGGAAGTCTTTGCTTGCAAGCTTGAGCCCTTCTCCAATGTCATGGCATCTGATGTCTAGGTCGGCGTCGTTGTGGTGGTCGCTCAGATGCTGTTTCAAACACGTTCTTGGAGGAAGGAGTCGTCGGCTGGAGGATGGGAGCGCGTGCCCTGGCGCGCTTGCTTCTGCTTCGTCTTCTTTCTCGTGCTGGCCACGAGGGTCCACTTGACGTGCAGAGCCTGGTGGCCGAAGTCGAGGCCTGGGACGTTTTAAGCACACGAATCCATCGCCCAGAGCGCCCCCTGGGGCGCCGCGGGTGCTGAGCCCTCCCCAGGCTGCTCGGGTGGCCTGTGGAGGTCGTCAGCTCGGACCACCTGGGAGGGCCTGTTGAGGCCCACCTCGGGGGGCCGTCCGTTGGAAAGCTGGGCGAGGGCTGGCAAGTCCGTGGCTGCTGCAGCGGTTTTCCCGGTAGGAAAAAAACAAATCTCTGGAGTCAAACTCAGCGCACTTGATAGTAGACGGGCTTCTTCCGGGAAGAAACGCATTTCCCCGGAGCTCCGTTTTCGCTGCCACGGGTTTGCCAGTCTTCACCCGGCTTCTGAGTCTGTGCACGGGCGGCGGACACATCCGCACTTGCGCCCTCGCGCTCTGGATCCTGGGGCGCGATCCCGCGGGTACGCGGTCGCACGGACACGCTCCGCGCGGGACCTCCGCGACAAAAACGCCTCGCACCCGCGGGGTCGCGGCCCAGGGGCCGGCCTGCGAGGCCGCGGGGGAGCTGTCTGTGCGTCACCCGAAGCCTTACTGCCATCTGCCATCGTGCTACCATAAAGCACGCTGAATAAGGAACGAAGGTTCTTTCCTGGCCTCCTCCTCCTCCTCCTCCTCCTCCTCCTTATCTCCGCCTTCTCCTCCTCCCCCTCCTGGTCGTCGTCGATGTCTTTCAGGGTCGGCGGCACCGGCAGTCAGGCCTCCACAATAAGGAAAGAAGGTTACTTCCTGACCACGGCGAGCCTCGGCCACGAACAGGTTCTCTGACGTAGACCTGAGGAACGGCCCTGCACAAAGGGTTCCTCCGGAGGCCGACGTGGTCCTCCTTTCAGCGCCTCGACTGTGCTTATGTGGGGGGCCGATTGCACAGGACACGCGACAGGACACGGGACTCCTCCGACGGCAACATGCCCTCCAGGCGCCACAGGACAGCAGGCTACCCTTGGTTTGGTCGGCCCGACCTACTGATCAGCCCTGCCCGTACCGCCGCTGCCGCTCTCGCCGCCTCTCCCAGGGATGCCCCTCGCCCAGCTGCCAGACCGCCGCCTCCCGCGCGGAGGTGCTCAAAACCGCGGGAGCCGCGTCCGACGCCCCGCCGAATCTTTGGACAGGGCGTGCGCCAGTTGCTATCCTGAGCAGTGCCGCGGGGGGAGGCCTCCCTCACTCACGGCCCTTCTCCCTCATGGCAACGAGGGGGAGCGTTAGGGGTGGGGCACCGGCGCAGGGGGGGAAACGTGGACCCATGGGATCGGCGACGCATCGCCGATAGATCAGCGGCAGGCCTCGCCAGCGGAGCCGCACGCTCCTGGGTGGGGCGGGCTATCGGGCTCCTATCGGCGATGAGTGGGCGATTGGGGGTCGATGCATCACCCCCCCTGAGTCTGTTCTTTGGTAGCTTTTGCGCCATTGCTCGGGTCTCTGGCGGCCGTTCAGGGCGATCCGGACTTCTCCTGAAAGCTACGGGCGATGTGCGGCTGCTGGAGAGCATCTCGAGGCTGGAAACCGCCGGGAACCCCAGAAAACGCCCGAATGCCTCGCCCTTCGAAGCGGAAACAAAGCCCGAACCGCGACCTTCGACCCTCGACAGCCCTCCCTAACGCTTCCCTTGAGCAGTGCCCGGAGGGAACCTTTCTCTTGGCTTGAGCAGGGACCGACCGTCACGGCATTCCACTAGGCCTACCACAAAATTGTCTTAGAATCCAAACATGTTCGAATCACAAAAGAACTGTTTTCATAATGTAAGCCCGATCTGCTAAGACAGGACTGTCTCAACCATACATGTTCTAAGAACATGTAAGGCAGACCACAACAGGTCCTCATCACATTCTTTGGTGGGCCTACAGGCAAGCCAAGACGCTTGGCCACTACTCGAAAGGCACTCCTGCGTCATGGCAAACTTTCGGCGGAGCCGGGCTTACCAGGCCATGCTGGGCCGGGGGTGGCCCGAGTGTCCCTGGCCCGAAGTGTCCCCGAGAGCCGACGTCGCGAACAAACTGCAACAGCTTGGGAGATCGCGACCAGAGCCCTGGTCCCTGATAGCGTTTCGCGAAGGATCCAGACATGACCGCGTCGTGTAAACCAAAAGCCAAGACTGGATTTGTTTGGCCAATTTCGGCCTCGGGTCCTCGCCAGGCTTCGGGACCGTCGAAAAACGACTCGGGATGAAAAGCCGGTTCGGGGGAAAAGGTCGGGACTTCCAGGGGCCCCGTATTACACAAAATCCACACGTCGCATGTCTGGGAACAGGGCTCTACGAATAGAAAGACAGGCACGGGGAACCCAAGACCGCCTCCCTGGACCGCCCGGTCCGGCAACCGCTTCGCTGGAGACGTCCCCGCGATGCAATGTGCAGGAGCCGTGCTCTCGCCTCAAACCCGGCAGCAATGCTGGTCGGGACGGCTGCGATCCCTGGTGCAAGATCCACTATAGGGTGCCCACGGCCGTGCTCTCACCCCTGTTCCCCAGCCGACATCCTACTCCTCGACCTGCCTTTTTTTTAACCCTTTTTGTTATTCGGGTGCTTTGAAGGGGCCCTGGGACACACAGACAAATACACACACGTAAAAACATCATCATATTTTCCTATATTTTCTGGGCTTTTGTCTTCCCCCCCCACTGCTTATATTTCCCAATATTTTCTGGGAATCGCCGATCAATTGTGTCTGTGTGTTTTTTCCCCTCCTGATACTTGGCTGGAAGAATCCGAATCGGGCGCGATCGATCTGTGAAGGTCCCGGTGACCGGAAGCGGACGAACACGCTCGGTGTGAAAGAATAGCAGCGCCCGGATCTCGTGGTCCTACGGCCCACACTGGAGGCCGGTCCACAAGAAGCCTTCCGCGAGAAGCCCAACTCTCAGACCCCAAGACGTCCATGATTTTTTGGTGTGGAGCCGTCGCGCTTTCCATCGCAAAAACCCTCGACACCCAAGAAACCCAGGGCACCCTGGAGGCAAGCAGGGTGTTTCTTGACATGGGCCTCCACTGTAACCAGACCAGGGCCGATGGGTCGATCTGGGCTCGGTCCAGGGCTTTCCACGAGACCAAGGCCCCAGACCTGCCCTGGGGAAATCATTCCTTATCTCGCCCTCGCTCGGACGTTCACTCCCTGTGCACGTTTCGATGCCGTGCGTGAGCTTTTCCGCAACATGGCCCAAAAGCCCCTCGATTGCCCTCGCCGGGCCCCCCGGGAGCGCCCAGGGCTCCCGAAAACACGCCCAGAAACGCCCAGGACCTCCTCGATCCTCGAGATCACCCCTTCTCCTTGACTTCCATGGGGACCCCGTGGCCCTCCGCCACCGCCATCTTGTGCCCAGGGGCGGAGGAGTGTAGACCCTCCTGACCTATGGCCCATGGGGGAGGAAGAGGAGGAGGAGGAGGAGGAGGAGGAGGAGGAGGAGGAGGAGGGGGAGGAGGAGGAGGAGGAGGAGGAGGAGGAGGAGGAGGAGGAGGACGAGGAGAAGGAAGAGGAGGAAGAGGAGCGGTACTCTTCCGTCGGGGTGGAAGGTCCCCAGGTGGCTGGGCAACAGTGGAGCAGCCACCAGAATTAGGGCTTCGAGCCCTGGCACGCGTCGCTTGGTGCCCCTCCAGTTACATGAATGCAAATGCCGCTTCCTGTTGAATGGCAGTTTCACGACAACCGTACATAAATCGGAGAAGCCAGATCCGCATCGGATAGGGGGTTGGGGCACTCAGGGGGTCCCCCCATTTTTGCTCCCCCCCTTGGAAAGAAGGTATCACAAGCTGTCAAGAGAGGCGAGCACGAGATTTCAAGCCAAGGCATCCGAGCGGGGGTGCCCCAACACACTCCAAGGCCCATGGCCATCGATCGGGGTATGAGGAAGTGCCTTGGGGAAGCAACCCCCCTACTGGGACCCATCCGACAATGTCTACACATAGGTGGCAGAACGGATCTGGACACACATCCGCCTCCACGTCCACATCCTCCAGGAGGAGGAGGAGGACGAGGGGGGGAGGGGGAGGAGGAGGAGGAGGACGAGGAGGAGGAGGCTGGAAGAGGAGGAGGTGGATGGATGGATGGATGGATGGATGGATGGATGGATGGATGGATGGATGGATGGATGGAGCATCATCAAAGAGGCCCTGGCGACCGTCTGCGCGCAGATGACCGCCGAGGCCCCAGATGTCAAGGTTTCGTGCCGCCCCGAGCACGCCGCGCGGGTGCCGTGGCGACTAGGGGAGGGCCCCGAAGCAGCCCAGACAGGCATCCGTCCGACCCTGGCCTATCTTGCGGACAAGCCAGGGGAGCGGAAACCACCCAAAGCGGGCAAACCCTGCAGCTGCCAGCGGCCGCCCCCGCACCCCGGACGTGGGAACGGGAACGCACGGGGCAAGCCCGACCAAGGCGGCGGCCCCCCAAACCCACTCCGAGGGGCGCCCCGCCCAGATTTCGAGGCGGATCGAGCAAGACGCAGCGAGTGCCCGCCCCTACTCCGAAGGCCGCGCGGGCCTCCTCGAAGAACGCCTTGACTGCGGACACTGGCGTGTCCGCGATGCCGCTGATCTCGTCAGCGGAGTCCATCGCGACCACACCGCCCTCCAGCTCGGCTGCAACATGCTCGTCCAGCAGCCGCAGCAAGTCCTCGCTCGCGCCCAGAGGCTCCGCGACGCGCCCTGCCTCAGATCCCTCAGGCCAACAGGACCCTCGCAGTCGAACTCCGCCGCTGACTACACCGCGCAGTCCAGCCTCACGTCAGCCTCGACAACCCCCGACTCCCCGCCCAGGATCGTGACGCACTTCGTCGGCGGCTCGGCCGCCACCGGCACGGCCCCCTCCACGATCGCGTCGCGCGCCGTCGGCGGCGCGGCCGCCGCTGGATCGGACACCTCCCCGATGGCGTCGGAGAAAGCCTCGACATCGAAACCTTCCTCGTAGGTGGCCTCGGACGGCCCGCGCTCGTCGCCGACGAAATGCAGGCACGTCTGCAGCTCCACGCCGAGCGCCTCGAGCAGCAAACCAGGCTGCTGCGGGTCCTGCCACAGGAGGCCCGGCGCCCACGCCACGCCCACAGGCCCACCCTGGCGCTCCGCCAGGCTCCAGCCCGCAGCCAGGCCATGCCCGAAAGCCTGGGCCCGGCTCTCCGCGACGGGGCCGCACCTCTTCCGCGCAGGCGCGGGGGAGCCCTCCGGAGCGGCACCGAGGCGCGGCCCGCGCTGGGCCGCACGGAGCGCCTGCGCGTCGGCGCCCTCCAGCTGCGCCCCGGGCGCGGCCGCATGGATGGCGGCGTTGCGCCGCAGCCTCTGGAGCCACGTGGGCGCGCGGCCCTCCACCAGCGCGGCGAGAGCTGGAAGAAGGCAGCGGACACGGGCGGCCACCTCGCCGTCGCCGACGATGACCAGGAGGGCCCCCTTCGCGTCCTTCCGCTGGCGTTCGTCGGCCGCCAGCTGCGACTGCAGCCGCGCGACGAGGCGGTCCGCAGACGCCCGGGCACCAGCCGCGCCGCGCAGCATCGCCGCCGAGCCCGATCCCGCAGCCATCACTCTGTGAGCCAAGAGCCATGCTCCCCAAAGCCCTCACGCCCGCCCAGGATGGGCACAAGGTCCAGGATCAGGGGGCCTACGGGAATGGCCTTGAAGCAAAATGGCTACGGAGGAGGAGGATAAGGAGAAGGAGAAGGAGGAGGAGGCGGAGGAAGAAAGAGGAGGAGAGAGGAGGAGGATGAGGAGGAGGAGGAGGGGGAGGAGGGAGGAGGAGGGGGAGGAGGGAGGAGGGAGGAGGGGGAGGAGGGAGGAGGAGGAGGGAGGAGGAGGAGGAGGAGGAGGAAGAAAGAGAGGAGAGGAGGAGGAGGATGAGGGAGGAGGGAAGAGGAGGGAGGAGGGGAGGAGGAGGAGAGGAGAGGAGGAGGAGGAGGAGGAGGAGAGAGGGGAGGATGATGAGGAGGAGGGAGATGATGATGATGATGATGATGATGATGATGATGATGATGATGATGATGATGATGATGATGATGATGATGATGATGATGATGATGATGATGATGATGATGATGATGATGATGAGATGGATGATGGGAGGGAGGAGGAGAGGAGGAGGAGGAGGAGGAGGAGCAGGAGGAGGAAGATGAGGATGCAGGAGGGACCCCCCTTGGCACTACCTCAGATGGGCCAGGGACACCCCCTGGCAACGTCCGGCCAGCGTGTCGGGTGCTGGGGGGGCGCGAGGTTCCGCCGCCCCCCTGGCAACGGGGGAGCGTGGCGCAAGCGGGCGGGCCCCTCCGGTCACTGGCTGCTGCTGCTGCTTCTGCTGCTCCGTCCCTCCCCATTCCTCTCTCCGTCCTCATGTCCCTCCCACCTTTTCTCCCGCCTCCCTCCCCCCTGCATTCATCCTCTCTCCCTCACGGCCCTCCTTCCCTCCCTCCTCTCCTCCTCCTCTGCTCCTCCTCCACCCTCCGTCCCTCCCCCCTCCCTTCTCTCCTGCTTAGTGAGTTGGGCGAGCCCTGCAGTGACCCAACCCTCACTGGGAAGCGGTGTTTAAGACGAGTCAACTTGGGACTCTGGCCCAAAGTTCAACGCAAAAAAGGAAAGGGCCAGAGGTCGAACTGCAACCCACAGTGAGGTTGCGGCGGAAGTTACGCGATCAGGCAGAATCTCCAGAATCTCCCTCCATCCAATCTCTCCCTCACAAGCCTCCTTCCCTCATCCTCCTCTTCTCCTCCACTCCTCCTCTGTTCATTGGAGCCCGCGCCGCATACGGGCCATGCCAGGCGCGAGAGACTCCTGGCCAGAGCGTGCAACGGAGCGCCAGACGAACGATGGGGCGGGCGAGTTTAAGCTCGCCGCCTCTGATGAAGGGCACCGAGCGGGGGGGGGATTGACTCAGGGGCGGAACCATGACCTAGAACCGGCGACGCATCGCCAAGGTATTGGCCTTACTTAGACACCGATCGCGGAACCGAGCGTTCCTGGTCTGGGCTGGGGGCCGATCCCCGATCGGCAACGAACGGGCGATTGGGGGTCGATGTTCCCCCCCCGCGGGGCCAGTCCCTCGCCGTGGCGCCTCCTCCTCCTCCTCCTCCTCCTCCTCTTCCTCCTCCGCCTCCTCCTCCTCCTCCTCCTCCTCCGCCTCCTCCGCCCTGAGCCATTCGTCGCAGGGAGGCGGGCTGCGCCGGCTTCGTCTCTTGCCGAGCGCCTACTGGACGAGCTCCTCTTCAGTGCAGCGGGCCCCGGGGCAGAAGAGCGTACTCCAAGAACACGAGGCCCCCCGTCGGCCAAACTGAAGAACACCCGAGGGCATCCTCCCCCAAGCTGCACGGGAAAGCCTAGCAACAACGAAGGGCATCAGGGCACCCTCCCCGTCCCGACCTCGATCTGAGAACTCGGTCCGACCGTATATGGAAGGCGCTGGCGGGTTTCTGAGTGGTGCTCCACAAGGCTGAACCTGAACGGGGTTGTTCGTTTTCGCTTCGACCGCAGAACGAAGTCGACACGAAAACGGCCCACGAAATCGCCAAGACACCGTTCAGGTCCGGCCCCGCTGCTCCACGCACCGAGGCGAGACGGAAGGCTGCAGCGCCTCCCTGGCGAGACTGGCCGGCGGGATCCCCCTTTGCTCTGCGGGCGGGCCCCTGCACTTGGGCCTCCTGCTCCTGGGGCCTGCCTTAGGAACACAGAAGAACCCCCAGGGTGTCCTGAAGAGTTGTCCGAGCAGCCCACAAGAATTCATTGCGATGTCCTAAACCATCCTGAGGATTTCCTCAACAATCCAAGGGATGTCCTGCACAACGCCACCAATACCCTGACGATGTCTCCCGGAATCCTGAGGATTCCATGGGGAATCTCGGCAGGGCTTCCCTGAAGGATCCCGCGGATCTACTAAAGCATCCCAAGAATTTCCGCTGGAATCCCCAGGATTCCCGCAGTAATCCTCAGGCCTTCCCTGGACCTCCTAGAGGATCGTAAGAAAATCCAAAGGCTTCGTCAGAAATCCCCAGGTGCTGTTTTACATATCCAAAGGGCTGCCGGGGACCTACAGCAGTGGGGATCCTGTGAGATGCGGAGGATTTCCTCGGGAACCCTACGGATTTCCTGACCAGTCCTGGGGATGTCCTCCAGATTCCGAGTACGATTCACGAACAGCGTGTACACAAATAGCAATTGTCATGTCTCCTGTACCCCCGCGAGCGGAGAACTCGCACTCTGCTGCTGTGCACCGCAACCCAAGGACGGGATCGATCGGAGGTGTGCGACCAAGCCACAGGAACACCTAATATCTATACGACCACCCTTCGGGTGACAAGGAGGTTGGGGGCGAAAGAACCAACTGACGACAACTGCGACGGCTGCGATGATGACGATGCTGGTGGTGCTCCCTCGAGTTGGCGACAACTCGTGGTGACGACACCACGGGACACCATCGGGACACCAATCGATTTCACTTTCGATCTCACTCTCGATCCCACCACGGGGCACCGACGGGACACCGACAGGACACCGACGGGACACCAACGGGACACCCGCGGAACACTGACGGAACACTGACGGGACACCGACGGGACACCCGCAGAACACCGACGGGACACCACGGCGGGACAACCCGGCCACCGCCCACCCACCGCGATGGAACACCGACGGGACAACGACGGGACACCAAACACGGCGGGACACCCGGGCCACCGCCGGACGGCTCTGACCCGGCCTGGCAACAGCGGAATCAGTCCTTTCACCCGCCCGCGCAGCTTTGCCTCGCCCGCACGCGCGACACAAACCCGACACCGAAACCGATTTCCCGGTGGGGGGCTCTCCGTTCCACTTCGATCTCACCCCCCAACCTCGGATAAAACTTCTCGATTTAGCAGGGTGGCGGGATGGCCGAATGCCACTTTGTAGATAGGTGTGGCACGCTGTTCTTCGGTGGCAACTCGTGGGAGCCTCCCACACCAACTTGTCGGCTCTTGCAGATCGGCGCTGATCGACGCCAAATCGGCGCTAAATCATCGACTCCAAACGCTAGTCGACGCTAATCGATGCTAATCGACGCTGAATACGGAAGTGAGAGGTATACCAGGCTCTGATGATTTGCCACCGAAGGTGTTCTGTCTCTGCTCCAATCTCTAGGTGATCTTAAAGCGGTTCTGGGATACAGTAGAGGCCCGACCACAAGAAACTTCCCACAAGAAACCCAACCCTGAGACCCCAGGGCGTCCAACGATTTTTGGTGCGGGAACGTCACGCTTTCTATCGCAAAACCATCGATACCCAAGACACCCAGGGCACCCTTGAGGCAAGCAGGGTGTTTCTTGTCATGGGCCCCCACTGTAGTCGTCGGCCTGCCTTCGTGCGCTCCTGAGCTCTCCCGCGGCCCTCCTGGAGCCCCTTAAGCAACCCTCAGTAAAAGGGGCCCAAGGGCACACAAATAATAAATACACACAAATCCCAGGATTCCTAATCTTTTCCTGTATTTTCTGGGTTCTCGTCTCCCCCCCTTCCCATATTTTCCTTCATTTTCCTGGGGATCGACGATTCATTGCGTCTGTGTGATATTCCCTGCTGATTCAGGGTCGGCGGAAGCGGCCGTAAGGCCTCTCCAATAGTTCAGGTACAAAAAACTTCTCGGCTTGATTTGTCGCTGTGGTGTGGGTCAGCCATACGCCACCTCCACGCAACAGTTCGTGCGAGATCTTCTCGCGAGGAGTGAAAACAATAGACATCAGCCTCATGAGGATGTGAAACTGTAGGCTGTTCGGCTCGCATCTCGCGGCAACAAATCCCCCCCTGACCTCCCCGGCGCACCCTGGTGCAGTGAGCCGTTCAAGCCAAGAGCAAGTTGCGGAGAGGAAACTCTGTGATGGGGAGGAGGCAGGGGGGAGGTCAGAAGCACGCACACTCCAAGAGCAAAAGGCCGCAACGAGCAGCTGCTGCCGTAGTGGTGGGCGCAGGCAGTGGCGAGTGTGACATCTTATCCAGACTTCAAGCGTCGTGCGTTGTTGAAGGCGCGGGCCCCGGGAACACTGATGCCTCTTCCTGGGACTAACGTTTCGTCGCGGGTCCGCATTTCTCTAAATGGCGCGCCCGTGGGATTCGTTCTCGCTTCCTAACTGGGCAGCGGCCCTACTCAATCCCGTCCGCGGGACCAGATTTGTCAATGCTGCTCGTGATGGCTGCGCATGGGTTGAGCATGTAGAAATAGACGTAGGCAGTAAAGTAGTGGAGTCGAGTAGAACGGAGACGAGTAGAGCAGGGTCGAACACTGCCGGGGTAAAGCAGAATAGATACCTCAGAGCCGACAATATATCAATCATGAGTCGAGTGGAATTGAAAAAGAGTCGAACGGAGTCGAACAAAGTAGAGACGGGTATAGTCGAGCAGTGTCGAGTACATTCGGAGACGTTCGAGTCATGTAACCACGTCAACTGGGAGTCAACGATGGTAGATCTGGATGGCCCTGGAACCCGAGGGCGCCCGTCTTGGGGACCGAAACTGCGGAGCGAAACGCCCGTCGTGACTTTTTTTTCCTCGGCACCTCGAAGCCTGGGCTCTTATCCTTGTCGGCGCGCCCCAAATGGGTGGCGCAAGGGGGGAGGCCCTCCGAGAAAGCAGGGGTGTTACGCGGCTATACCTTAACGCGTGTATGGCGTTGACGAGGGTGTGGCGCAATACTTTGGCCTCGAGGTGCTCTGGGTCGTCCTCCTCGTGTTCTTCGTGGCTTCGTGGTGCCCGTGCTGGCCACGTCCGCCCAGAGTTGCTGTACATTGCAAGTGTAATAGAAGAATAACAAAAACACGTAAACATAAACTTTCGGCGCTACGCGCGGATTTCTTGGATCCGTGCCGGACCCCCCTCCCTGGCGCGCGGAGCGCGACAGGGGCGGCGCCGGAGGCGCCGCCAGGGGGGCCCAGGCTATGTTTTTTCCCTTCTTCTCCGGTGTAAGCAAAAATCTCCAGGAGCCGCAGACGATGTCGCCGACGTCGACGACGATCCTCGATCGTCCATAGAGGGCACAACATCCACCCCCATAACAACCACCCCGACAGGCGAGGCCGGTCAGTAAACGCACCCAAAGAAGGAATCGAGCAGGGCAGGGCTTTGAGGAAACGCCCCGGGCCGTCTAGTAGATGTTTTCCTCCCCTCGCCATCGCTCGGACGTCCATTCCCTGTGTCTTTTTCGGTTTCGTGCGTGGTTTTTTCGTCAAATGATCAAGGATGCTCCTCGATGGTCCTCGCCGAAGGAAAAATGCACACGTCCGCGCGATGCCAAGTCCCTCGACTCCAGCCTCGACGTCCTCGGCCTGCGCTCCTCGACCCTCGGCCCTCGGTCTTCGGCCCCCGAACCTCGAAGAGCGACATTTCTCGATCCTCCCGCCTCGCTCCTGTGAGCTGCCTTGATCCTCGCGCACGCCGCCAGCTTCGTCAGTGCTTCCCCGTCCGCCCCCGAAGGTAACAAAAAGTTAGTCTGAAGTGCGCCACCTGGGCCCGGGCCGCAGCGGCGCAGAGCACATCTCTCTGCGCGCCCCAAAAAGTATATAACTCGTGCTGCGGCGCGGGTCGGCGCGTTGTAGATAGGGAGGCGTCGCGAGCTGCAGAGAACAGTGAAACCGCCCCCTCTTCTTCTTCCTCCGCAGTTGCCCAGGGCAGTACGCGCCGATACTTGTTCTGTTCTGCATCGGCCGAGAACACTTCTACTCTGAGCTCGTACTCGCGAGAATCTGACAACGCGTTCGAATATTCCATCCATAAGGTATTCAGGAACTAAGGTGCTGCCTCCTTCTCCTCCCCCTTATCCAGGTTCCTTCCGAGAGAGAAGACTCCTCGGTGCGGCGCATGGTCTGAGCTGGTTCGAGGTCCGCATTTTTCCGGTCTAGACTTCAGAAGCCGCCGCCCGCCATCTGCTGATGCACACCTGTCCTTGACAAATGTTTCTTGCGGACCTGGTCCAACCAAACAGCGAAGCGTACTCTGCCCGAGGTCCAAGATGGACATCCAAGTGTGACAGAGCCTCTTGGACGCCCGAGTTCGATATGTTTCCTACAGGGACGCCAGCGAAAGGGACTTCTGAGACCGCGGCGCTGCACTTGAGATTTCGAAGAAATGTGCGTGACAGCGTCATGCGGTGACCTTGTGGACGAAGCCGAGCGGACTTGAGAAACCGGGATCGCCCGTCTCAAAAGTCCCTTTCTCTGGGGTCCCCTTTGGAACCACATGAGAACTATCTGGGATAACTGCGGTCCGGGGTAACTCCGGTTTGGGCCCCCGATGCGCGAATCTGCAATTGCTCCTGACTGCCCCCAGCCCTGATCATTGGGGAGGGTTGGGCGCCCAAATTTTCTAGGATAGCTGCGGCCCATGGGAATTCTGGCCTGGGCCCCCGGTGCGCGAATCTGCAATTACCCCTGACTCCCCCCAGCCCTGCTCATCTGGTAGGGTTGGGCGCCCGAATCCTCAGGGAAAACTGCGGCCCAGGCCAATTCTGACCTGGGCCCCCGAGGCGCGCATCTGCAGTTGCCCCTGCCCGGTTCCAGCCCCGATGACTCGGAGCCCTGAGCCACCGCTATAGAAGTAAGTCGGGCCTGTCCCTCTACAGGGAGGAAGTTTCAGCAGTAGTCCAAATCTGGGGGCGATTTTTGAATATTTGTTGGCCATTTTTGATATCTGTGCGTCTTTTTAACTTTTGGTCAAAATGCCTTGTAGGGGGACATGCCTGGCCGAACCATGGAAAGAAAAGATGGATCGCAACTCCCCTGTGGCACTTTGTGGCTGATCTCCTGCTCTGGTGATACAGTGTCTGAGCATCTTCTTGGAATGGAGGGCTCCGGGTGGAATCCATATGGGCTTCTGTACCTCGAAAATCAATCCGTCTTGTGATCTGCCTCTTGCAAACTCAAGCCTCGAGCACCCATCGAAACAGCACTTCAGATTTCATCCTTTGCCATCCACCCACAGAAAATGCCCAGAGTGTGGAACCCGCATCCGAACGACAACGGGACCGGCAACGCCCCCTGGCCCCCTCAGGACATCTCGACTGCTTCCCTGGCGTCGGCATCTCGCCCCGAATCGCTTTCGGGTTCCCCTGGGGCCCGAGAGCGGCCCTTGGAGGCTGAAACAAAGGAAACGCGTCGGGGGTGAAACGCGCGTGTGAAAATATCTGTATCCGCGCACATACACATGTTGATATCCAAGTGCCACGCATGTGTGCCCAGGCTCATACAAAAAACTGAAAGGGCGTTTGAAGCAGGAAGCCACCATGACGGGGGGATCGGAGATGGAGAAGGGGAAGCTGGGGCGGCGCCGCCAGGGCGTGCGAAGAGAAGGGGAAGAGGCAGGAGGTGAACGCAGACGAATCCAAGATCGAGTAAGAGCCACCCCCAAAGGCAGGAGGATCGACGAGGGTAAGTGGGGTTGCCACACATTGCGATGTGTGTACCAGGGCCCCCCAGGAAGCCTCAGGAGGCCCGACTTGGATACCGCAAGAGGCTCCAGGAGGCCCCAGGATTGTGAGTCTTGTGTGTGTGTGATGTGTGCTCTGTGCTGTGCGTGTTTTCTATGCGTTGTAGGTGTTGTGTTGTGTGTGTGTGTGTGTGTTATGTTTGTCTGGCGTGTGATGTGTTGGGTGTGAGTTGTGTCTCTGTGTGTGCATGTAGTTCTGAGGCCCCAGGAGGCCCCAGGCGGCACCAGGAGGCCCCAGGAGACCCCAGGAGGCTCCAGGAGGCCCCAAAAGGCTCCAGGAGGCCGCAAGAGGCCCCAGGAGGCCCCAGGAGGTTCCAGGAGACCCCCAGGAGGCTCCGAGGCGGGGTCTGGGGTACCAGAAGGTACGTCGGGGCTCGATGTTGGGAGGATGTCTCAGGCGAAACCGCCATTCTCTGAGAATCGGGGTCAAAATCATTGAATGTACATTGTGCTTTTGGACCCTGACGGCACGATCTGTGTGAGGGGTGCCACCGGTTTTCAAAATTTCGAGGATGTCCCTAGCGAAACGGCCAGACAAATCGCGAAGGACGCGGCGCGTACGCATTAATCGCCTCTGAGCTCTACTCCCTCGGAGAGGTGCGTATGATTATATATATATATATATATACACCCAAGACTGCATTGGCGCTTCGCGACATGCGCTTTGTTCCTGACCCTCACCGGCAAAACAATACATCATCGCTTGCTACAGCGGGGGGGACCTCGAGGCCTGGACGGGCGACCGGCTCATTTTTCTGATATCCCTGGTGCATACTGACACCGCGTTCGCCCGATGCGCTTGCACGCTTGTGCGCAGGAGCGGGGAAGGAATGGTGTTTTTTTTTCACGCGCGAAGGTCCTGTGAGGAAGTAAGGAGCGTTCCCATGACACGCCGAAGAAGTCGCAGTAGCTCCGAGCAAATCCTTCCTGACTGCCTGGGGGGCTCCAGGCACTCAGGAAATCTTCGATCGTCGATCTTCGAATCTAAAACCATTGGCTGTCTCTCTCGATCGAGGAACCTAAATCTCGAGCCCCAAGCGTGGAATCAAAATCGTCGGGTCAGCTCGATGTACTTCGTAGAAAACGCCGTCTGGGCGTTTTGGAAGCTCTTTTGGGCCGTCCTGGGGCCCTCTGGGGCCGTTCTGGGGCCTTCTTGGGCCGTCTTGGGGAGCTGGGGTCCTGCTGATGTCTTCTGAAGCCATCTAGGGCCTCCAATGGCCTTCTTGGGGGTCTCCCATGGCTTTCGTATGTCCCTCTTGGGAGCCTTCTGGGGGCATCTTGGGTTTTTTTGCGGGCAGTCTCGGAGCTCTCTGGGGCAATCTTGGGGCCCTCTTGGGCCGTCTTCAAATCCTGTGGGGGGCCTCTTGGGCTGTCTTGGGGCGAAAAAGGCCGCCCGTTGCCGCCTCGTTGCCGTCTCGTGCGCTGGGTGGGTACGGCGAGGCTTCGCCACGTTGCCTCCCGTTGCGGCCTCGTTGCCACCTCTAGCTTGCACCACGTCTACTGCACCACATGGCTTGCATATCCACAGGACAATATCTAACTGTTTGGGGTCCGCGCTGGGTAATATCAATGAACTGTTCGGGATGCTCAAGAATATCGCTCGGCCGTCCCCCCCCTCGAGAATTGAACACATAGAATGCTACTGACAACGTCGGGGGTGGTCCTTAAAATGCCTGTCCAAGTTGCACGCCAAGGCAATCGACACAGGGACTGGGTTACTCTTGCTGGGACTCGGGCTGACAATCCAACATCCATGTGCCTGAGAAGTGTAGGGGAGCCCCGGCGGTGGTTTCTGACGCCGCGTGCACCGTCCGATCTTGAGCGATCGCCGCTTCCCGATAGTGCCGATCCCTCGCTACCGGCCGATTCCTGGCCGCTGGCGGCGCTCCATCTTGAACGCCGGCGCCGGGGTTGCCGCCGCGTCGGCACGGCACGAACCTGCCGTGTTTGAGCTTCGTTTGGGAGGGGGGGGGTCTGGGGTTGCCATCTCGGGCCTCTGGGCGGGGCCTCGTCGGCCAGATTCGCTTCAAAACCCTGGCCAGAACGCGCTCCAGGACAGGTCCCAGGAAGAAGGAGGAGGAGTAGGAGGAGGAGGAGGAGGAGGAGGAGGATAGAGGAGCCTCCAGATCCATGGGACCGTTGGCGGCGGGGATCTCCCAGCGGGCTGGGAGTTTCAGATGCGATCCGACGAGACGAGCTCCCCCGCGTGACCTCCCTTGACGAGCAGCCGCGACGCCCGCCTCGCGAAGTGTGGATGGCAAGCGCCGGTCCTTTGAAATGTAGTCTTGAAAAGCGGCGCCTGCTGCCGACCTGTGCCGGCGGGCGCCGCCAAAGTTGCTAGGCAAGAGGCTCGGTGCAATGACAGAGGATCAATCGGGGGCTGCAGATCTATAGTGATCGGCCTGACCTAAGGAACGATAAAGAAGGAACGAAGCCCCTTTTTAATCCCAAGGGATAACGCATAAGGAACGAACAATAACAAATAACGCATAAGGAACCGCACATAACGCATGCAAACCTAAGGAACGAGCGAGCCCCTTTTGAAAAGTAAGTGTTCCTTATTCAAGCCGCCCACTGTATAGTGACTCAACCGCGGGATGGCAACTGTCGAGCAAGTCGCTGACGAGGGTGGTGATGCACCGGGAGCTTGGCCTCGCCCGAAAGAGAGAAGATGCAACGACTCGGGGACAAGACATGCGAGCATGTTTCTGGACCGCACTCACTCCACGGCGATGGACCGAATACGACACCGAGCTGGCAACGAAACCGAAACCGATCGAAGCCTTCGGACAAAAACCACAGTACCTAGAAGGACGCAGCGGCGCAGCAACCGACCGGGCCGAATCGACCAAAAACAACTGATCACGAAGTAGCTGAACTGACCAAACCGCAGCAACCCTTGGTCTTATCGGCCGAGGGGAGATCGGATTCCACTGAAACTTTGCAATTCCAGGCACGCTGCTCTTGCACCATTTGCCTGCCACTGCTCCGCAATGGGTGTCACTGCTCCACAATGCCACTGCCACTGCTGCGCAATGGTAGCTGCCGGCCGAGCTTTTTGTGCTGCGGTAGGCACCGTGCCAACAGCTGCTACCACTGGCGTGCTGGAAATAGAGCGCATGTGTACTGCTGTTCCTCCCCCTCAACCATGCCTGG